GTGTGCTTATTCAGGTCGTAACCCTTCCTCGTGAGTCACGTATCGGATATCCGTGAAGGTTGGCGGAGTGTAGATAACGTTAATAACGCTCGATATTCATACGTTTCAAGGTTTCTTAAGATTGCGTTCACTAGAACGTTTGTTGCCTTCGTTCTTACGCTTTTCTCAGGAGGGCGATCCTTTCTTCGAAGAGACTTTAAAGCTTCCTCTGGTGCCGCAGGGGGGCATAATTTACGTTGAAAACACGACGGCGAAGTAATTGCTCAACGACATCGGTGTCGAGAGTCAGTCTTGATTATCTTCCGGGAACTAATCTCGTGGAGGCATCGAACAATGACGAATCTGCGATGAATATTCAACGTATCCGTGAATTCGTTCGTACGTGGCTGCTATCCATTATGGATATCCACTGGCTGATTCCAGACACCGACTCGACGTGTTTGCGTTTAAAATTGGCCGAAACTGCTGGTCAGCTGGGTCTCGGAAATGCAACATTAGGTAGAAAAGAGTAGGATAAATATTTGAAAGTGAGATATTGGAAAGGAAACAAGCGAATGACATTCTTCTGTATCTCGAAGAATAATTATCGGTACACTTCAAAGTGTTCGAAGTTTGACGAAAATCGAACGGTAAAAATGATTTTCTGCAACGTCGAATTACTTGCTAAAATGGTACTTTCACGTTTTCAGAAATGAATCCCATAAATCGTCGTTGACGCTTTTTAACACATTGTTGACCGGCAATTTTACTCAGAATTGATCTCATGTCACCGGCTATTATTTCGTAATTGGATGTGGAAGTGAAACAATATAAATAAATTTTATTTAATATTTCTTTTTGGTATGATAAACGGTCTAGCAATCACCTACATACGTGTAATGGTACACAGCAGGTTTTGCAAGTATATCTTGTTTCGCTGCGTTTTCCTTTTGAAGAGCATACTCTACACGTTCTAGTTGGATTTTTTTTTTCTACCAGTGACTATGTTTTCTAAAACGTGGTCTCTTAGCTGTCCGGGAAGCCCGAAGGGTGGATCATTGTAAGGAGCTGTTGTAGAAATACTAGAGGAAGCGCATCGATCAGCGACGGTTGGGCATCACGACACGAGTTAACTCGTGACCGGTCAACAATGTGTTAAAAAGGAAGTTTTAGTATTATCTTTGACACGTTTCGTGCCGCGTGTGTCGGTACACGGTAGATATTAAAGGATATTGTTTATTCGATGCAGTTGCAAAATGCGTGCAAAGAAATGTGAGAAAGAATTGAATTCTATCGATATTTGGGGATACGAGTCCCGTTTCACCGAGAAATTATCCGAGGTGCTTTGAACTCAAATAAAATGAAAAAATTACACTATTTTTTAGGGTCGATGGGTGTTCATAAATCGTGCAATAAAATCATAAAAAACATTTTCCTATTAACTAATTAAACTTAAATGCATGTACAATATTATCTAATCGATAAACAGTTAATTAAACCTAAATACACGTACAATTTTACATTGCCAAAATGTTTTTCATGATTTTCTTGCGCGACTTATGAACACCCATCGATCCTTCCCTATTATCCGAGGCAGGCTCGATCCACATCACCTCGGATAATCGAAACTCTACTGTAATTAAAAAATTTGTAACTCTTTCACGATACGAACTGTGTTAACATTATAACCAGGCTGCAGATGTTTATGCAAGTATAACAGATCAAGGTATCCATAATACATGAGAGTAACGTTACTGTAAGTATATATAGTTTGAAGACGTGCATCTGATGACGATAGGAACACATTCCTCCAAGGCCATCTCGAAGGTCGTTCCAAGGCCTTCGACGTTCTTTTGCATATTAATGTCGGAACGAGTTCGACGAACTGTGCGATGAAATGACCTCGAGCAGTGTAAAAATAATAAAATAAGAGAGATATAGGTATATGCAAAAGAATTTCTTTGACTTTGAGGAGACTTTTTTTTCCACCAATAGTGGAAATAATTTAGATTTAAGGCTTCCACGGCTGTCCTTATGGGAAAAGTATTCCGACGTTTCCTAATCATCGCACCTCACTTCATTAGAGTTCGTGATTATCCTTTTCATTCCCATCATTACAGTTAATTCTCCACAAGTGTCAGTCCGCAAGGAAGCTAAACCTGACACTTGTAGAGTCAGGGACTACGTCTTCGAGCCTCGCGCCCGCCTTTGTAGTTTGCCGAACGTAGACAGGGACAGCGAATAAAAGATAAGGATGAAACGTGATTCGAGGCAACCAAGCGATTTAAATACTAACATTTTTAATTTTACGTTTTTTTATCCCGAAATTTTTCTTAACATTAACACGTTCACTGTCTGGCGTGACAGTGAATAAGTAAATGTTGTTCAAATTATATCGTGTTTGATATCATTTTCATCAGAAAAATCTCAGCAACATGTTAAAAAAAATTTCAGATGAAAACAAGTAAAATTAAAGAAATTATATTTTTCTATTATGAATTGTCGAGCCGTGAAATCTCGTAAAAGAAACCGAGTGGTGTAGCGTTACATGCTTGACTGACAGCGAGCGAGATAACATAGGCGCAGCAATGACGCAGACCTAGGCGTAGGACCATCTATACTGACACTTGTAGAATCCAAATTGACTGACACTTGTAGAGAATTTACTGTACTATCCTTTTTCCATAAGGACACGGTTTACACCATGAAGCCTCAATACTAATAATTTATCCTATATACGATATACAAAATTTGTATTTTGCTTTCAGTCCCATTTTTCTCTCTGTTCCCCCGTCAAAGTATGCATTTGCATAAACATCCACAGTCAGATTAACCCTTACGTCAATAGCCACAATTATCCTCTACTGTATCTGACCGAATATGAAAATTTCTTATCGGAAAGGCAAAATATTTGAAATGAGAAAATGTGCAAAAGGATATCCGGCTATTGACGTAAGAGTTGATAGAATATTCAAATAATCGAAGAATCTTCGACGAGCGAAACACTTAAACATTTCCCTCGATACCGACAAAAGTGTAATTGACCGGTGTTGTAATTTCGACAGGTCTGTTGAAAGGGTCCGTAACGGCTGAGCGGCCGCGCACGCTGCGTCGCCTTCGGAACGTTTACGGGCCATCCGCATGCGGAATGGGAACCGGCGGCGAGGGTGGAGGTGGAGAACGTCTGGAGGACGGAGAAGTCGCGTTCCGGCTGTCGGATCGCGATCGCGAGAGAGACGAGAAGTCCCTTAGCATAATGAGCCCGTTCGACGAGCAAGAGGAATGGGCGAAGATCTCGGAGATCATGGCGTCGTTCGGCACCGGTCTCGTCAGAGAGTCCGTCTTCGTCACTGAATTAGAGAAGGAGTTCCAGACCAGACTAGGTATAATTACAGAATTACACTGGAATAACACTGTCAGATAGTAATATGATAATGGGCTTGCAGGTGAAACTTTCAGGTATTTTGTCGATTCTTTCGTGTGCAGAATTTTTTCAGTTAATACAGGGTGTCCCAGGTTTTAACGGCCAAACGTTGTCAGTATACTCTATGGGTCGAAATAAAAGAAGAATGTACGAACGTAAGTCTGTTAGAGCTTCGTTAAAAAGTTACGGCAATAATACGAAATTAAGAGAACAATAGCAGACTCGCGGTTACTGCGATGTAATACAGAAATAGATCATCAATATTTGCGCGATATTTACAAGATCGCGTACCGAATTGATACAAAAGATCAACGATGCATTTATTGAAATAACGAAATTCGCAGAGTAATAAATTCTGTTTTCTGATGTCAATCTTGCGCTGCCATAAAACGGTGGACATTTTTCAGATGGAGTATCAGTTGCTTCTTGCATAAACAGAGAAAACGTAAACATTGCTGATGCATTTATATCGCAGTAACCGTGAGTCTGCTATTGTTCTCTTAATTTCGTATTATTGCCGTAACTTTTTAATAAAGCTCCAAAAGATCTATGTTTGTATAACAATTTTTTCTAATTTCAACCCATGGAATATACTGACAACGTTTGGCCGTTTAAACCTGGGACACCCTGTGTACGCTATTGGTAAAAAGTTTCGGATCACTTATTTAATTTATATTTGTGTCACATTTGCCGTATATTTTATGGATTGGTAATTCATTTTACTGGGATCGGTGGCTATTAATTTAGAAAATTTCTTTTTATGATAGCTTGTTACTTAAGTTTGTCACTGACCTGCTTAGGTCAGTCAGAGAACGTGATCAGTGTTAATAGGATAATAGCGAGAGAAATCCTTCAGATATTAGGAACATGAAATTGATATCTTGCGTAGCACATTTTATTTCATTTCATTTTTATTTCATACTTCTGAAACAGAGCGACGTAATAAGTAATTTACTGAAAGCCAGCAGTATGCTACTATTTTCAAAAGTGGTATCATGTCATATCCCGCAGCAGCTGTCGGGTTAAATTTTTAACTTTTTCCTGCTCGCAGTGCATAGTGGTTTCAAACTTCTGACCAGCGGTGTATTGTTAATTAATATTTTAAATTAATCCGAGGTATCGTGGATTCTCTGTGCGTATTTAAATAGCAAAAATATTTGAAAAATGTTACAACTTGTAGAAATGCAAAGAATATCGAGAATTGGACATTCCTAATTTAGAAAGAAACTTGTAAAAAGTGTATTTCACGGTAAAAAGGGGAAGCTTGGTATTACATTTGGCAAAACGAGCATGCTTGGCGAAGCACTATCAATCTGTCGCGAATTAAGCCGAAGGTCCCCTCTGATTTGTACGCAGGCCTGAGTTCAGACACCAGCAGCAGCCCTATTGTCTCCACTTCCGTTGGTCAGTGGCTGTCAACGTTGGGCCTTGCTGATTACGAGACCTTCTTTATCAATTATGGATTCGACGACCTTGATTTCATAGTAAGCATCTCATTAACAACTCCTCTACCGAGAATATCATTATTCTATATACAAGAGTAACTGGTTAAGACTTTCTACTTTTTTATCTACCTACTAAAAAAAAGAAAATTAACCCAGTTACTAGTTTAACCCCTTGCCGCATAATAACGAGTCAAAGTCGTGCCACAGATTTTGGTCGAGATCTGACAAAAACATTTACATCGGTAACAAACATTAATTTCAATTCCAATTTTCGATTAATTCGTTAATCTACCTATAATACGTCAGCTTTTTTTATTTAACCCTTTGCGGTCCAAATAGTCCAGTTAGTCCGCACTCATTTGGTCACTCTCGGGCAGTACAACCTATAATACGTCAGCTTTTTTTATTTAACCCTTTGCGGTCCAAGTAGTCCAGTTAGTCCGCACTCATTTGGTCACTCTCGGGCAGTACCGAGTAGTTTCCCTGTATTTCAATATTTCAGCGTAATATTAGTTATAAAATACTAAGTTTCAGTATAATATTGTAGTATCGGGGCCTCCATACCCAAATAGGAAACCTCGAAGGGACAATAGAGAGGGAGTGGTTGGCGTAGCGCGCAAAGCCTCGGTTTGCTAAGCCGAAGGTCCCTGGTTCGATTCCCGTTGGGGGTCACTGTGAATATTTTTCCCCAGGTTCTTACAATATTAATGCATAAAAATGGAAATGAGAATGGAAAAATTCTCATGTCGAGTTTGACTCGATATAGGACCGCAAAGCGTTGATATAGTACTGAAACAGTAAATAGCTGACGCTTAAATGGCATAGTAAGGAAAGAAATCGTACGTCAAGGGGTTAACGAAGCATTAATTAAAATTTGTTGCACAAAATTACTTATCCTAAAGTAAAAAATAAACTATCTAAAGATGTTTTAAATTATTATTGTACAGTATTGAAGATAAGTTAAAATAATGTGAAACAATTGCACTATTCGCAGAACGGGGTTCTAGACGAGGCAGACCTAAAGGAAATGGACATCAGCAGCGATCAGGAGCGCGCAGTGATAATGGACGCGGTTGGTCTGTTGAACAAACGCGTGGAAAAACGATCGGGCGGCAGTTGTCAGTCGGTGGACGAATGGTTGAAGAGCATTCATCTGGAGAATTACACGGAGACCTTCAAGAAACACTTGTACACGGAAATGGACCGGGTAAGAAGCGTGTGGGAGGTGGAATTGGCGGCTGTGCTAGAGATCCAGAAGCCGGCGCACCGTAAGAGGATCCTCGCGTCTGTCAGCGGATCGAGCGCGCGTGCGCAGAATCGCAAGACCGCCGGGCCCAACTTGGAGGACCTCAATAAGGATCTGAACACCTTGGTGAGTGAAATCGCATAGTTTGACTGAATACGAATTGACAGTGTGTCGCGTGGAACGTCTGGAACCTCGCGACGATTCGTGTGGAATTGATAATGGGTGTCTGTAAAAAATCGCAGAAATATTCGAGACGTAGATGTTGATTCCACGTGTCTGCTTGACGAGTCGAGTTTACGTTTCGGTATTTTTAGTTCCGGCTGAAGAAGTTCTGTATCGAATTGAATTCAATTCTACAGATAGATAGGAGGTTGAGAAATTCATTGGTCAATATGGCGCAGGGACTGTAAATTCTCTTGATACATTGTGCAAGCATCGTTAACACTAGGGCCGGGTCAAAAGTGACCCATTTCACCACGACTTTCCAAACGCGAATTTTTCTGTAATTAAGTTGAAAAGTTACAAGTGATAATGCTTATCAGTATCGGAACATTTACTTTGTTTAGAAATTTGTCAATAGCGCAAGGACCGTAAATTCTTTCAATACTTCATAGAAGTATCATTGATACTAGAACCGTCGACTGGGTCAAAGATGACCCATTTGTCCGCGACTTTCCAAAAGTGAATTTTCATGTAGTCAAGTTAAAAATTTACAAATAATAATACTTATCAATATCGGAAAATTCTCTTCTTTTACAAATTTATCAATGACTCATCTAGACCCAGTCGGTCGTTCTAACGTTCGTCGCCGCAAAATCGCACAAACCCTAAAAAAAGAATCCTAAAAATGAGAAAAACTAGCATTTATCGTATCAAAGAGAACCGGCGCGTACCGCAAAGTGTTAACTCTATTCGTCGATCAAGTCACGTGACGCTCTTGATCCGTCGATTGTGTCACCTGTTCGCGAGATAGGAGCGTAAACCGAAACGCAGACAGAGTATAGAAACGAACGGAAAAAAGAGAAAAAGGAGAAGCAGGTGAAAAAAAAGGACGGAGAATAGAGAAAAGGTGAGGAGGAGTAGGTGGTGGGGAATAGGGATGGATGTGGGGGAAGGGATCCTGTTAAGAATTCCGTTAGGACGGGGTGTCTGACAAGGGCCGCGAAGCACTTGGGCAAAAAGAGGGCGGCAACGAGGCTCGAGGGGTGGTTGCGACACCCCGCCAAGCTCGATCGCTTGCTACCGGCTTTCAGCCGATCGCGTCATAATGTAAATATCGTGGCTAATTGGAGAGGCGTTATTGTAACGGGCGCGCGCTAGGGCGCTTGGGCGGACGGTAGAACATCGCCGCGCGCGGCGTCTCTACCTACCTGTTCGCCGCGTACTCTCTACACTCGCCTCACGAGGCGACACTCGAGCAACCTTTCAGCCTGATCGCTCGAGCGGACGCCAATAGTTTTTGTTCGGGCGCCTCGAGCGCGATACGTGCATCCGTTAACGAGCTACTCTCGTGGCGCATCGCGCGCGTCTCGCCGCCGCCTGCTCTTTTCGCCGGTGCTCCCTTAATTAGCTAATTAAATTCGATTAATGGCCGACGGTCGACGCGCACACGTCCAAATTGCTCTCTTTGTTCCTCCGTTTCTCTGCTTCTTACGTCCATTCTTTCGCCGTAATCGAATTTCACGACTGTCGGCCCCGCGCCGCGACTCGAACGTCTCTGATTAATTTTCCAGTCTACGCGACCACGCTGTTTTCCGGTAGGCGAATTGATACGGCTAGGCGTATTTTAACACCCTTCGACGGTCTGATGAAATTATGAATTGCTGTTAAAGAAATTAATATTTCATAGGTATTTTTTTAATAATTAAGTCGGGTACGATTATTTTTAAAACAGGGAATACGTAATATCTTTCTTCCTAATAGTCTCTCTGGAGCTGAACAGTTGAGTATTTGACGCTCTACCCGAGTCTCACACGGGATAAACCGTCAAAGGGTTGAACAATGCAAACTTTTTGACCACCAGATGTGCCTTTCTTTTCTATTATTTTTCTTAAAGTTTCTTAATGAGCGCACTGTTTCTATGTATAACGAAGCACTAAAAATTATAGATTGTATTAATGTGATACTCTTCTTTCATTGATAGAACGCGGTAAATAGATAGCAATCGAGTAGGCAAATTAAAAAATGCAAATACTTTCTTGACCACGAGACGTTCGTTTCTTTAACGTTATTTGTCAATGGTAAATTTTTAACGTTTCTAACGCTTTTTTTTTTACAAGTGTAGTATATTAGTTATCACAGAAACACTGACTGAAAAAAGTAGAAGAAGCACGAGTTATCCATCTATTGGCGTTAATATTGGCATTTGCTACCCCGACCGATTGCTTTCTCCAGCAATTCTCGCTCCTCTTCTCTACATTTCAATTTCTCTTCGTTGTATTCCTGTTTTCAAGCGTTACCTCGTGACTTTCTACGATTTCGTTTCGAAGCGGGCAGCGGCGTTGTAAATTATACATGGAAGGCAGATATAACAAACGATTCGCGCGGATGTAAACCGAACGTTGGAGCGATACGCTCGCGTGGCTCGAATCTGTTTCGATCGTAATTCCCAGAGGGGTGCGAAACGACTCGCTCACACGTGGAGATTGCAAAAGGTCTTCTTTTTTCGGGGCGCTATCTTTTGGCAACTTCTGGTGGACTTGCAAGTGTTCACTTTTTAATACTGAACGAAACACTTTGTTGATTTAACGCTGTTTAATTCTGCAATATTCCTATGGAGGAACATTTTGAAATATGATCATCACTGGATGATATGAAATATTTCCTTGTCTCTTTTGCAGAGTGCAAATGTCGTAAATCTAATTTTACCAACGAAATTTAAAAGGTACGCTTTAATTTGTAATTAGAGTAAAATTTTTGGAACTGCCTTTCTACTAATATTTAACTTCAATATCGAATCTCTGTTTTTCGTAAATAGTAAAAATTTTCAACGATCCATCCTACCATTACTAACTCTGTTCCATCTTAACACTTAACCCGCCGGCTTTTTAATTTGCAGCCGAACGTAAACCGCCGGCACAAATTTGCGAAATTTAAGAGTTTGTCTCCTGAAGGGAAAACCAGTCTGACTTTTTTTTCATGCTTTATTTTTAGGTAAAAGTTTCAGATAATGTAAAGAAACCATAAAACCTACTAAAACTATAAATATTACAGATTGCAAAAATGCAATGCCGGCGGTTTAGCGATAGTCCAGAAACGTTGCAAAAGTGCAACGCCGGGTTAAGTGTTAGGACACACAGATTTTGGTCAAACTTTGTGTATAGCTAGAGAAACGTATTTTTTTTTATCAGCAGACATTTATCTTCAGGAGGTGAAATCATGCTTCACAGTAGAGGACTGCAAAACTATCAGTTCGAATACCTGGAAAATGTGTAGAAATAAGAAAGTATCCTAAGTATAAAAATTTCTCGTTTCAGTGTAAAGAGTAACGTGACGAAAAACTACTGTGTGCGAAGTTTTATTAGAATCAGGATGTCTCAGTTAGGTGATGTTCCTTATGTATTACACGAGTACCTACATCTTGCATTAGTATGAATTTTTCCTCTACTCGTATCTACTGAATTATACATAACTATTTAAGCACAGCAACTTAACTCTTTATGGTGCCATGTGTCTTCCAATTTACATACCATATATCTATATTTTACTTGTCTATTTTTACAATATTGTGTTGTATTGGTTAAAATTTTTTCTAACAATTATTAATTCTTACTTCCTCAAACGAAATATAAAATTCCAATCAGCCTTCGTTTTTCTTCTCACGAACGAAAAAGAATCGAGTAACAGAGGGTTAACGTAAACACGAATGAGACGCGATGTCCCCCCCCAAAAAAAGGTACCACTGTAGTAGCAACATAGTTCGCCGCAGAGGATCATTGACAACGAGAAGGAAGCCACTACAGCGGCGTGGTAGCAGTTAAAGGGTTAAAAACTCAACAACGATACTCTGGTTTCCGCAGAAGTCGAATATACAGCAGCTGAAGGAGGAGATACGGGAGAAGCTGCCGGAAACAACGGCGGAGGGTAATGGTGGTACGTCGATAACCGGAACGAATTCGACCGGGACGGGCACATTAAGGCACCGCAAAAACAGGCCGGCTCCGCAGCCACCCCAGCGACCCAGTTCGCATAATGGGGCGATCTCGGCACCGGAACAGCTCGAGATCAGGGCACCGTCGGAACTGCTTCTCGGCGTGCCGTCCACCCTGAAGACGCAGTGGAGGCACCAGCCAAAAGCTCTAGTCACCGGCTGCGTCACGTACGTCGCCAACGTAAGTCTAATTGCTTCCGTCTTCTATTCCCCTTCCCCCTCCTCTCCGTTACTTTCCTCTCTTTTGGCTCCTTACCATTTTACATGCTCTTCCCTCGAGCGTTGCTCCTCCTTGCAAGGAGCCAAATCTTCCTGAATGCTTTAGACAGTGCTTTGGATGTTTGCCGCGCGCTCGTTTTTTTCTTTCCCTCTTTGGAACCGGTAATTTATGATACGAGGCGTCTTTCTTTCGAAGATTGCTTCTTTTCTGTTTTATTTAAATTTGGAACCGGCAATTTGTGATACGAGGCGCCTTTCTATTCAAGATTGCTTCTTTTCTTTTTTATTTAAATTTCGAATCGGCAATTTATGATATTTCGCGTCTTTCTTTCGAAGGGTGTTCCTTTTTTTAATTAAATTTCGATCCGGAAATTTGTGACACGAGGCGTCTTTCTTTCGAAGATTGCTTCTTTTCTTTTTTATTTAAATTTCGAACCGGCAATTTGTGATACGAGGCGCCTTTCCATTCAAGATTGTTTCTTTTCTTTCTAATTTAAATTTCGATACGGAAATTTGTGACATTTGGCGTCTTTCTTTCGAAGATTGTTGATTTTTTCTTTTAACCCTCCAGCCGCGGCCGATTTTCATATTTTGCTGCAGAAAATCGGGCGAAATTTATATCTTCTAGAGATTTACCGTAAGGTGACTTTTAATGCAATACAGAAAGAATACGCATTCCTTAGAAGCATAGTTGGTGAAATAACGCCTCCCTATATTCAAATACGTAATAAAACCTATCAGCAGAGTAAGTAGAACACGATTTCGGTGTCGCCCGCGGCTGGAGGGTTCATTCAAATTTCGAAGCTCGTTTTGTTCCTTTTTATAATATTCAACTGCGTGAGGAGCGTACCGGTTCTTTCCGTTACATCGGCTAAAAAGGAAATTGCAGTAGCCGTGAAAACAATAACAGGACGCTTTAACGCGTTGGTAATTGCGCTCGGTAATTCAACCCTCTCGCTTCAACGTATTGCACGGTTCTTGAATAACGAGCGCGTCGTGTGATGTCAGCCAGATAGTCGTGACAACGCCTCAAGGTGAAGGCTATTACCATAATTACCCGCGTGGGTGTGACTAATAACACATTTCATTCAGAGCATTATCTTGTCTGGGCGTAGACTCTGACACACGTAAACGACCGTTTAACGCTTTCTTCCTCTCTGGAATCACGTTGTCGAGCGTAGTAATCGTTTATTTCCTTTCGTATAAGATACAAACATTCTAGATGTGAGCTTGCGATCCTTCCGGTTCTGTTAACCTTTTCGTGCGTAACTTTGTAGCTCACGAACGATAGCGAAGATCGGGAACTCCCATACGAGAAATACGCTTCTGAGAAAATTCAGTTGAGGTTTATCAACGATAGTGAAAATTGAGAATTTCTATACGAGGAATACGCTTCTGAGAAAATTCAGTTGAAGTTTATCAACGAGAGAAATGATCGAGAGTTTTCAATTGAGAAATACGCTTCTGAGAAAATTCAGTTCAAGTTTATCAACGAGAGAAATGATCGAGAGTTTTCAATTGAGAAATACGCTTCTGAGAAAATTCAGTTCAAGTTTATCAACGAGAGAAATGATCGAGAGTTTTCAATTGAGAAATACGCTTCTGAGAAAATTCAGTTCAAGTTTATCAACGAGAGAAATGATCGAGAGTTTTCAATTGAGAAATACGCTTCTGAGAAAATTCAGTTCAAGTTTATCAACGAGAGAAATGATCGAGAGTTTTCAATTGAGAAATACGCTTCTGAGAAAATTCAGTTCAAGTTTATCAACGAGAGAAATGATCGAGAGTTTTCAATTGAGAAATACGCTTCTGAGAAAATTCAGTTCAAGTTTATCAACGAGAGAAATGATCGAGAGTTTTCAATTGAGAAATACGCTTCTGAGAAAATTCAGTTCAAGTTTATCAACGAGAGAAATGATCGAGAGTTTTCAATTGAGAAATACGCTTCTGAGAAAATTCAGTTCAAGTTTATCAACGAGAGAAATGATCGAGAGTTTTCAATTGAGAAATACGCTTCTGAGAAAATTCAGTTCAAGTTTATCAACGAGAGAAATGATCGAGAGTTTTCAATTGAGAAATACGCTTCTGAGAAAATTCAGTTCAAGTTTATCAACGAGAGAAATGATCGAGAGTTTTCAATTGAGAAATACGCTTCTGAGAAAATTCAGTTCAAGTTTATCAACGAGAGAAATGATCGAGAGTTTTCAATTGAGAAATACGCTTCTGAGAAAATTCAGTTCAAGTTTATCAACGAGAGAAATGATCGAGAGTTTTCAATTGAGAAATACGCTTCTGAGAAAATTCAGTTCAAGTTTATCAACGAGAGAAATGATCGAGAGTTTTCAATTGAGAAATACGCTTCTGAGAAAATTCAGTTGAAGTTTATCAACGAGAGGAATGATCGAGAATTTTCAATTGAGAATTATGCGCTTCCGAGGAAATTCAGATATTCGCGCCATGGTTTAATTGTCTTAACGACAGGAAAGATCGAGAATTTTCAATTGAGAAATATACCTACGCTTCTGAGAAAATTCAGATATCGTCGTCGCGGTTTAATTTTCTTAACGACAGGAAAGATCGAGAATTTTCAATTGAGAAATACACGCTTCCGAGAAAATCTAGTTATTCGTGTCACGGTTCTAGAGATACGATCTTTCTGTTTCAAAATCGCTCAGTATCTGGGTTCCACCGTCGTGAAGGAGTTACGCGGCACAGAGTCGACCAAGAAGTCCATACAGAAGGTGAAGAAAACGAGCGGAGAACCTAGAGTCACCCTCGACATCACTCTCGCGATTTCTTATCGCGGCGTTCGTTTTCTCAACACGGTGACCAAGGTAAGATACTTCTAACCATCGCGGAAGAACAATTCTCCAACAACGTTAATCCTTTTTATATCCCTTTAACCTCGCTGCTTTTTAAATAAATTCAATCGTGCTAGATTTTACTTTGAATTTTACCGAAACAAAATTTGTAGCTTTGCAATGTTTCGTCTATTTTTCAACGGCGAGATCAATGGGAAATTCACGAGAAAATTGCAATTAATCGAGAGGTTGTAACACAGAGAGCGTACAAATAAGGAAGAGAATCTCTTGCGTTTATCGAATTTGTGTCACGCTGGGAGGGATTAACGTTGAACCGTAATACGATTACCGTGCCTATGTACATTTGTATTTGGAATGATGGGAATCGATAGGAGCCAATTTGCGAGCATGAAATTCGCAACATTCACTGCGCCTGTCAGGACGCGGACGACCTCACGCATTTCGCATATATCACCAAGGACCACGCCAGCCGTACGCATTACTGTCACGTCTTTTGCGTGCCAACGATGGTGAGTCTATTTTCTTCTCTGTATCTAGAACTGCCGCCTACTTGCTGCGTTGAAATTTATTGAAATTAGAATCGACATGCTGAATTTGTAATTTTGCATTTTAACGTGGTGTAATTAGTATCCTTAGACTCCTTTGCAATTCTAAATTGAGTCATTGTGACAAGCAGAACGTGTTTCAGAATAATTTTCGTTCTAATCTTAGTCATATTAGTTTTA